TTTAGGTTTTCCTTTAGAGGGGTTATATTTCATGTCCTCCCTCTTTTTCTTGTATCTTTGTTTTTGTTTCTAAAGGAGTAAGGTTTATTTTCCCTTCTTTTCCATGTATTTTTAATCATTTTTTCTTGTATTATGAGGGGTTAGGTTTATATCTCCCTGACTAGTTGTGCCTTTTTTTTTTTTTTTTTTTTCCCTTCTCTCCTTTCCCTCCTTGCTCTCCCATCTCATTGGGCACTCTCCCCCTTTTCTCTCCCGCAACTCTCTTTTTTCCCCTCTCTCCTGCTGCCATCTGGCAGATTCTATTTTTTATTTTTTATTTTTTTACAACTAAAACATCTATAATTTCTTCGTTTCAACTCCGATTTTCGCCTACGTGTTCGTATCGACACGTACTATCTAGATATGCAAAGAAATCTGAAAAATTATGAAAATATCAAGTATGTCCATAAAGAATCTCGTTTAACACAATAGGGGCAATTTCATCCTTTTACTTATCAAATAAAATTTTATACGCCATAAATATAAACAAGTCGAAACTACGAATATGAATACGAAATACAAGATATGTATTTTTAAATAGTGAAATCCAGGGACGGGATTTCACATCCTTCCCCTCTTATAAAAATTTCGTCCTTGAAATTTCCATTGTCATCTCCACTTACTCAACATTGCAATAATTCAACTAATAGCGATACATTGAATGGAGTCCACATTTCATTTATTTTCATATTAAGCTAACCTCAAGTTCGATAGTTTCGAACTTCAATTCACCACACAAAACCATCACAAACATTGCCATGTCATCAATAACAACACTAATTCCATCATACAATTTTTAACATCCACAAGTAAAGGTACTTAGACCTAATACCTAAGCTCTGGTACCATTAAAAGTTGTCACGCCCCGATCCTAACATATGTCTAGGATTGACATGCGACATCACCAATTACATGTATATCTAACATACCCTGCCTCCAAGATATGTGCAAAGCACAACTCACGATCTAACTGCGTAGTAATTTTTCGTACACTTTATGGCTGCATCTAATGTCGTTGTTAGACTGCCTACGTACCCTACATAGGGATCTAGCCATTCGTAACTTCCCATGGATTTCTAATCCGTAACTTTCTAAGGGTCTCATTCATCTTCTAGAACAACATTCTAAAATTTCGGAATGATCCTACAGTCGAATCTCCGCCAATTGCAAGAATTAAGTAACGGTCAACATTTCATTTTACAAACTTAGAAATCCAATTTGGGAAGATCCATACGTCGGATCCCCATTCTATAAGCTCCTAAGGTCCTCAAATATTATGCAAAATAACATACCAAAGTTTGGTGACTATCCAACGGTCGGATCATCGATTCATATAATGTCCAAGTGGCGATCTATATCAAAACTTTAGTTATACAATGAGATTCCATCAATCGAACATCACATATGGAATCAAGGTATCCAAATTAGTCTAGGAAGGGCAGGTGGGGTCTTGGCCCATGCGCCGCCACACGCGGCGGCCAGCTATCCCGACTTGCCGGAAAATTCAACTAGTTCCAAAAATTACCAAATGTTATAGCCAAGTAGATCTCAGTGAGGGGATAAATTTTCATACCTAGGCCAGAGTCCAATTTGGCCGAGAAACTCCTGGAATCACCCACAAACCGCCGGAACCCTAAAATTGGGTGTGCTTCGATTTGACCTCCATACTCGCTCTGACGCCTCCACCACTGCTTGGGCTTTGTTCCTGAGGTTAGGGGGAGCCTATTAGTGGTGGTAATTGGCCAAGTTGGCTTCCCGATTTGCGGATCGCCGCCGTACACCCACATGCACCACCTTTCGTTTCCCCCCAAAACTACCACCAAATTCCTTCTAGTTTTGGGTGGAAATAGAAAATAGAAGGCTAGGGAGTTGTTTCCAAGTGGCGATTTGCCTCGATTAGCCGTGAATGGCGTCAGGTTTGCTTGTCGTCGAGTCAGGTCAGGAAGAATACCCGTTTCCTTTTTTTTTTTTTTTTCCTTTCTTTCTGTCCTTTCCCTCCTTGCTCTCCCCTCTCATTGGGCACTCTCCCCCTTTCTTTTTTCCCCTCTCATTGAGCAACTCTCTATTTTCCCCTCTCTCCTGCTGCCATTGGGCAACTTCTAATTTTTTATTTTTTATTTAATTTTTTTTTTACAACTAAAACGTCTATAATTTCTTCGTTTCAACTCCGATTCACGAACGGTTTTTGCCTACACGTTCGTATCGACACGTTTTATCTAGATATGCAAAGAAATCTGAAAAATTATGAAAATATCAAACATCCAAAAATACGTTGAAACTACAAATATGAATACAAAATACGAGATACGTATTTTTAAACAGTGCAATCCGGGGATGGGATTTCACAATAGAGATGCATTCACTAGCTGTCCAAGGAATGCTTTTGGTGTAGACTGTAGTAGCTGATTACACTTGAAAAACAATTGTTTTGGGATGTGGTAGAGACCTCCACTACTCTTTCCTCTCATGAGAATTATCTTTGTTATTAATTCCTGCACCCAAAATCCAAATTCATCAAGAATGACATAACAATTATTGTCTTTGCATAAAGTATAAACCAATATAAGGCTTGCAGCTAAATCAGGTACATGTAATACTATATATAGGTTTAAAGGTTTAGAGAGAGCGTTGATAGAAGATGAACCAGTGTTCTTGACAGGAAGACATTATCCACTGCCAACAGTGATATTTTGATCTCTCTCAAATGGTGTAATCATGTTTAACTCCCCAACATCACCAGTCATGTGATGTGTTGCCCCAGTTTCTATAATCCAAGATTGATTATGATTGAAGTCATCAAAGGACTTAGCAATCATGGCATTAAGTGATGAAGGTGGTTGTGCACCTTGAAAGGCATAGTTAGCCTTATGGAAACAATTAAAAGTTGTATGGCCTCTCTTGTCACAAATCTGGCATTCTGGGATGACATGGTTAGAAGGAGTTGACTGCTTATTTTTGTAATAGCAATTAGGCATAGTATGGCCTCGCTTTCTGCAAATTTGGCACTCAGGGATTATATTTGACTTCTGGCCACTATTTCCATTCCAAGTTCCCTAGTTTGATCATCCTTTATTGTTGCCAGAATAGCTTCCATTGTTTCTGTTGTTATAACCACCAGAATGACCTTCATTATACCTTGGTCGATTGTTAAACCGAGGACCATTATAGCCATTGTTATGCCTCTGAGATTGAAATTGTTAAGGTAGATTCCCCTGAGAAAAATGACCACCAATGGGACCATTGCCATTAGACCGCTGAATTTGACTAACAAAACTTGTGCCCCTAGTAAAATTCTGACCATTAGAACCACCAAATGAATTATCCACTTGATAATATTGTTGACCAACTGTTGTTCCAGATGATTCTCCGTGAGAAAACATTCATGTCATAGGAAACTGCATAGTAGACTGATACTCTGCTGCAATCCCTTCTGCACTCAAAAGCTGTGCACGGAATGCCTTCAAAGTGATAGATGTCTCTCTGGCTACAATAACAGTTCGTATCATATTATACTCAGATGGCAACCCAGCCAATGCAGCAACAATGAAATCATTGTCTAAGATGGTTTCTCATGCAGCAACTAGTTTGTCCTTCAAGTGTTTAAGTCGTAGTAAGTTCTTCTCAATGGAATCAGTTTCTTTATTAATAGTATGGAGTTCAATCTTTATATGATTGATCCTTGCTCGAGACACTATTGCATAATGATTAGTAAGTTGAGTCCATGCCTCATGTGCAGTTTTGCTGCCAACAACATATCAATAGCTTCATCTCCAAGAGTACCAATGAGAAGACTAAGTAAAGCCTGTCTGCCTTGATCCATTCACAATAAGCTGCTGTAATCTCTTTAGTAACACCATTCTCCAAGGAAACAACATACTTCGGCGACACGCATTTGTACCATCAAAGAAGTCAAACAAATCATAGCCTTCCAAAACATATTGAAATTGGAAAGACCATTTGGCATAGTTATCATCCAACAATCAAATTGTAAGCATCCCTAGCAACCTATCAATCTTGAGTGGTGTAGATCCCATTTTCGCAAAAAATACCCAATGTAATACTAAGAAATTCACAAAACAACACAACAAGAAAGCTTAGTGCTTGTAATTGTCACAACCTGTGGAATCAATGAGCTTTGTGCCCTAATTTCACCAAAATATAGGCTTCGTGGCACAAATCTTGTTTGTAAAACTCAATACACGGAGCAGAGCTTCGTGCTCAAACAATCTTTCACAGAATCAGAGGAATCGCAACAAAATTTTGTCAAAGAAACAGATATGGCTTCGTGCCTTCAAAAATTTTCCAAGATTTATCTTTATTCATCTATCAATAGTTTACATATGGCATCCTGCCTCAACAAATTTCAAGAAATTGCAAGTAAAAGCCCTCAATTTAGAACAACACCTGATTCATTCGATCGCCATAGTTAGATCTGACATTTTCAACCCAACCCGTTAAAATTAGTATTCGGATGAGTGATAAACGGCATTACTACAAAATTACCTATAACTGGCGGTCCAAAAACCAACAAAAACATAATTTTTGTCAGATATTTGATAAAAATTCAACATAAACTCATGCAATGTCGAATAACAGAACCAACAACATTGCTAGCGTCACAAAAAGGTTTTGATGTCAGTTAATCCCTTTAATCCTCCACAAAGAAGGAAAGCAATATAAAATAAAATAAAAGATAGTAACGTCGGTTAAAAGTGACATCGAGGCTCACGTTGGATACAGGCGACATTAACTACTAACAATGATTGTCGGATGGACTAGACTGGTGTCGGTCCTAGCCGACACCACCTAATAATTTGAAAAATAAAATAACCACTATAATGTCACCCATAAGCGACACCACAAACAATTAATAATAAACAAGTTTGTCTCAATCAATCCCTTTACCTAATAGTACTATGCAATGCACTTCTATTATAAAGGTAAGAAGTCATTCAGATTTAAGCATAAGATCTCCCAAGTTAAATGCTTTTCAACTTTTATAAAGTTAATGTATACACAAAATAATCAAACTGCTAAAAAAAAAAAAAAACTCTTGTAAGCAGATATTGGACTGAGGACTGAAAAAAATTAACTTCCTTCCATTTCCATCTCAAGTACAAAAATTAACATCCTTCCATTTCCATCTCAAGGACACTGATCCAGCCACTGGCTTTCATCCCTATACCCCAGTATCCATTCCCTGTGAGCAAACAATAGTTAAGAACCTCAAAATTAAACCATATGAGTTATCTCAGCTCAGCTCATAATTATAAGAGTAAAAAAGTAAACCCAAGTTCTGAACTATTACACTTGGAATTTAATACAAACTAAACTCAAGTTTTGAACTTTAATTAAAACCCAACAAATATCGGTAAAAAAAAATTTAAATAAAAAATAAATAAAAAGAGGTTCACTTTACAGAATCTAATGCAGCAATTTTGCCTAATACTACTTTACACAACGAAAAAGACTCGAAATTTCGCTTTCTTTTCCTACATTTTCTCAGTAACCAATCAGGCCAAAAACCCCAAAAAATCACAATGAAAAACCAGTAACAAGCTAAAAAATTCAAGAAAACTAACTCAATCTGCAAAAGAATTTTCTAGTAATCTGGATGGAGATCCGCCCACTTGGTACAATAACTCGCCGGAGTCTTGTCATTAGCAAACAAATACAGTTGATGTTGCTACTGCTGCTGCTGAAATTGCAGCTGTTGAAACAGCTGCTGCTGCTGGTGGAATTGCAGCTGTTGAAACAGCGACATCTGCTGATGCTACGGTGGTTGTTGGGAGAAGAAGGAGCTGCTTTGTTTAAAGGGTTGTGAGGCTGTTGAATTTGAAACGGCAATTGTTGCTGCTACTACTATTGTGGCTGTGGCGTAGAGAATAACGATGTGAACGCCATTGTTGTGGTTACTGTGGACTGGTCGAGTGGTGTGAAACAATTTGGATTTCTCTTCCCTTATATTTAGAGTTTTGTGCGGAAGTCTGCTCCAGTGGTGTGAAAATTTCAAATTTCAAAATGTTTGAAATTTTGCAAAAGTTTAGTGACTCACCTATTAAATTTTTTTTTTTAAACTTAAGTATATATGAATTTATCACACATTATGTCCATAGTAGATAATAAAACAACGCGGGATTTTAAAATATTTAAAAACAATTATTAGTGTCGGCTACAACTGACATCGGATTTTAAAATATTTAAAAATAATTATTAGTGTCTGGTAGAAGTGACACGATTCTTTTTTAAACCAACACTAACTTTATATCGGTTGAAAGTGACACATTTTTCTTTTTGTACGACACCACCATTTAAAAAAATTAAAAGTTATGTCGGTTATAAGTGACATAGACACTTTATGTCGGTTATATAAAATCGACATCAACTACCAACACAATAAGCCACTTTTGTAGTAATACGGGTCGAGTGGTTAACAGGTCAGCCCATTAATCACGTGTCAAATAACGGATCATTTTGGATAGACCAACGAAACTCGTTAACCACCGTTATTGTAATTTTAATAGTCCTAATAGAAACTCTCATGCCCCTCACGATTTACAGGCTCTCTCTCTCCTCTTTGTGGGGGGATTGTACAGCAGGATGGGGTCTCTCTCTCTCCTCACGGACGGAGAGACAGATCTTCGTATTATTCAATTGAATTCAAAACCCCCAATAGTGTTCTCCTTCTCCTTCTCTCTCTCTCTCTCTCTCTCTCTCTCTCTCTCTCAAAGGTGATTATGTTGGACTGTTTTGGTGGCGAGGATCTATAACTGGATAAGTTTAAAAATAAATAAAAATTAAAACTTGAAAATGGTAAGAAATAAGGAGAAGAGGATTGTACTGGGATTTCCGAAGAAAATTTTCAGGCAATGATCCTCTCTTCCGGGTTGTTATTGATTTGATGAAATGTAAAAATAAAAAATAAAAATAAAGTTAACGGGTGAAATGGGTAATCCGTTAGTTTAACGGATTGTATTTGGATGACCTGTTAGCTTAATGGGTTAGGTTTAGGATACAAAGCTCCAAAACTTCCGCAAAAACGGCCATAAAAAACTTCAGTCGCCTTCAAGAAACCCCAATTAGTGCTCCGACCGCCTTCGAGAAACCCCAATTAGCGCTCCGATTAGCACCAACAAGAGCACAAAATCGTCAACCGCCTTCAAGTAACACTGATTAGCGCTCCGATAAGCACCGCACCCAGAAAAAACCTAGGCTTGATACCATCATAACAGTTTGACAATGGAAGCTAGAAAGATTAAGATTGGAAACGTAGAGAGAGAAAGTGAAAGCTTTAGAGCATCACCGAAGGAGATGTCAAAATGTCCAAATTAACAATAATGATAACAAAAGACAACATTAATGTTTTCCAACTGAAAAGTCGAATCTGATGTGGCATGACATGGATTGACATCTCTCCCCCTTGCTGCCAGATTTGACAGCACTTTCAGATTTTTTTAATTAATTATTAAATGTTTTTTATTAATTTTTTATTGGTTTAAACCATTATCCTTTTGTTTCTTTTCATTTCCAATGCAAAGAAAATACATATGAATTATTATTTTATATTTAAAATTTGAGATATCGGTTAGAGATCAAAAGTTTAAAAAAATATCAAAGTGCCACATAAACCTTATAATTTAAATTTTAGGTTTAAAATTTGACATCTCCTTTAAAGATGGTCTTATTATTGTAGAGAGTAAACATTCATTAAAAACAATATATCTCAACTGACTATCTATACAACTTCAAGATTTAACAACTGAGTAGACTAGCAACCTCCCAACAACCGAGAGAACAAGATCATGACACATGTCACCACAGAGATCATGACACTTGGCATTTACATATTGATTAATAAAGTTCACATCAGGTTACGCAAGTGTTTGATTAAATTAGATTATTATTTAAGTATTAATTTAATATGTGTATTTTTCTTAACTTTTTAATACAATGTCGAATGGCGACGATGACATAACTAAATTTACCATAAATATCAGGGCAGCAATTCCCGAAACTCGGAAAGATAGTTACTTTAATTTCCAAGAACTAGCTAAGACACACAGGATCAATAGAGAGAGATTTATCATGGGTTCAGAAGGTCAGGCAAAGCTTCCTGTTGTAGATTTAACCAACGCTGAAAATTTGAAGCCTGGAACTGAGGCATGGAGGTCGACATGCAATCAAGTCCAGCAAGCACTTGAAGATTGTGGCTGCTTTGAAGCCACTTACGATGGAGTTCCTTTGGACCTTCACAACGCCATGTTTTCTATGAGTAATGGCCTATTTGATCTTCCAGTTGAAACCAAATGCCAGAAGACCAGTGACAAGCCTTACCACAGCTACATCGGCCAAATTTCTTCCCTTCCACTTTACGAATCCTTGGGAGTCGATTATGCGACAACTCCTGAAGGAGTTGAAAAATTCACAAATATGATGTGGCCTGCAGGAAGTGACGAATTTCGGTATGTTTTTATTGGTTTAATGGCTACTAATCTAAATTTCTGTAACTTTTTCAGGATAGAATTAATATACTCACCATTTTTGGTACATATATATTATGCCTAACTAATTTCTTCTCTCTTCGTGAGAGTTCTTCTCTTCTCTGTGTGAGAGTTTCCAGATCCCGTCCCTCTTGTAGCTGCCGACCGACCCTAGCTATGGCCAGGGTCGGTGGCAGTCCCCTTCTCCTTCTCCTTTTCTGTTCCGTTTCTTTTTCTTTCCTTGCTTTTCAGGTAGTTTTTTTCTTTGTTTTTTGGCCTGCTAGCCCCTTTCCTTCAGCATCTCTGTCGTCCTTTCCCCTTCTTTTTTCTCCTTTTCCCCTGTCATCCCTTTTCCTATTTCCTGTCTATTTTCTCTCTTTCCCACTCTGTCATCCATCCCCTTTCCCGTTTCTCCTTGAAGCCACTTACTAGATTTGCAACAACTGATCTTTCTGGCGAATTTTCGCGATTCTCTCGGAAGGTGAGTAGAGCTCTGGCTTGGGTGTTCCCTCCACCTCTTTCCACTTGTGTGTGTGCCCTCGTTGGCACTGTTGCTTGCAGGTTGCTTATTCCCACAACTTTGTTCCTTCGATTGGTGCCTGCAACTTCTGGGGTGCTCTTTGGAGGATCGCGTCTTCTGTTCCTTCACTCTTGGGACGGCTTTTCTTGGCTGGATTTCAACGGTTGTTGCGGTCTTGGTTTGAGGCGTTCCGGTTGCAGTTGTCTTTGATGTGTTTTTCTGCTCTTTTTGCATTGGGCTCACTCAAAACTTACTTTGCTCATGGGTTACTTTGGAGGTCTATTTTTGTTTTTGTGTGTTTGGATTCGGATCTCTTCTACTGTAATATGTTGTGTCTGTAACAAAGTAACCTTTTACCACAAAAACTAATATTGTGTTTATTTCTTTGACTAGTGAGAAAGTTCATACCTTCTCAAATCTGGTAGCCGAGTTAACTAAATTGGTGACGAAAATGGTGTTTCACAATTATGGGGTACAAAGGCTTTACGAATCTCACATGGCGTCGACAATTTACCTGCTGAGATGGTCTCAGTATAGAGAACAAAAAGAGAATGAAACCAACGTGGGACTACCCCCTCACACAGACAAGGCCTTCATATCCATTCTTCACCAAAAGGAGGTGAACGGTTTGGAGGTGAAAACAAAGGATGGTCAGTGGTTTGTTGCTGAGCCTTCACCCACATCATTTGTAGTCATGGCAGGCGACGCTTTCATGGTACATAAATTCTCCACTTTCTTAATTTCAACTTGTTAGTAAAAGGATAATAGTGCATGATTAATTAATCATCAAGTTTTAATTTTCATATTTTACTTTTGGGTTTCATTTTTATTTTAAAGGGACTAGCTGGTGGCTTAGCCACTGTTAAGGGTGAGCATAAAAACTATGGAACCACGACCAAAACAAACCAAGACAAAATAAACCGTAAAAAAACTGTGTTGACCTAAAACAGTCAACTCAAGTTCAAGAACCAAGCTGAACCGTTTAGACTAGTTCCAGTCCCAATTCCTACATTGTAAAAACTGCATGAACAAAACCGCACCAGAATTCTAAAAATTAATTCTTTTATACATGTCATTTAATTATGGCTTTTTAGCCAAAATGGTCCCTAAAATTTGCATAACACATTAGATTGGTCCCTGAGATTGAAATCAATAGAAATAGTACATGAGATTGTCCACCATCCATTATTTTGGTCCTTCTGTTAAAAACTCTGTTAAGTGTCCCGGAGCTCTTGGCTGGAAGTTTGGACAATTTTAAAGCTTCGTAACTCAATCGTTTCTTAACCAAATTCGACCCATAATTCATCAAAATGAAGATAGGAAAGTGTAGAATAAGATTTTACCTATTTGGAAGCCCAATGGTTGCCGGAGATGGCCGGAAAATAGCCTGAAAGGTCACTAGTTGCGGGAAAACTGGAAAACTCGCAAGGAAACTAGGTAAATTTTAAACGTTCATAACTTCTTCAATACTCAACAAAATCAAGTGATTCAAAAATGAAAGTAATACTTCTCAATGAGACGAATAGAATGGTACCTTTCTCAACAGTTAATTATCCGTGGTTTGGCCGGAAAACGGCTCTAAAGTGGCTAACTTGAGACCAAGACAGCTACTTTCGAGCCATTTTCCAGAAAAAATGAGGTGAGTTAGCTGTTGATAAAGGTATCATTCTCTTCATCTCGTCGAGAAGTATGATTTTTGTTTTTGAATCACTCGATTTTGTTGAGTATTGAAGAAGTTATGAACGCTTAAAGTTTACCCAGTTTCCGGCAAGTTTTCAGTTTTCCCGCGGACCAGTCACCTTTCAGGCTATTTTTCGGCCATCTTTGGCAACCACTGGGCTTCTAAATGGGTATAATCTTGTTCTACACTTTCCTATCTTTATTTTGATATATTATGGGTCAAATTTGGTTAAAAAACGATTGAATTACGAAGCTTTGAAAATTGCTCAAACTTTATGCCAAGAGCTCCTGAACATTTAACGGAGTTTTTAACGGAATGACCAAAATAATGGATGTTGGACAATCTCAGGAACCATTTCTATTGATTTCCAATCTCAGAGACCAAAGTGATGTATTATGCAAATCTTATGGACCATTTTGGCTAAAAAGCCTTCATTTATTGGTTAAAATCATTCAGGTTTCACCTAGTGCAAATACACCTATGGCAATCCATTATTATTGGAGTCAGGAAGATTTACAAAGGTATTTTCAGACTTCCCTTGGCCACCATTGTATGATTCTTCAGTGCCAAAAATCAACTCAAGACTTTGCTGTGTAGGATACGGACCTGAAATTCATTCTTTACCACCCCGTGGTGGTTATTTTTGGGTTTGAATGAATGGACATGAAATATATAGAGTTTTAATTTGGTTCTTTTTTTAATTAACTTTATCTTTGCAGGCATGGAGCAATGGTAGAGTGCCGTCTTGTTTTCACCAAGTGATCATGAAACAGAACAAAACCAGATTATCAATTGGACTCTTCTCATGGCTTAATGGAACTGTACAAGTACCGGAAGAGCTAATCGACGACAAACACCCCTTATCCTATAAGCCATTTGATCATTTCAGTTACCTTCACTTCTCTGTAACACCAGAGGGAAAGCAATCCAAGTGTGCTATCAAAACCTACTGTGGAGTTTAACATCTCTTTTGGTTTATCTTACTTTAAATTGCAAAATAATTCTCTGAAGCGCCGGCGGGCTAGCTAGTATAATCTTTAATATGTTCCAAAGTGTAGGTTTCTTATAATTTTCTTTTGCATGTAATATGGCTCTTTTGAGTGTTGTTGATCTTAGTTTATTCTTGGCTTCCACTGAATAAATAAAGTTTATGGTTTACTTCCTTTATAATGTGTTTTTCTTTATTATGAATGCATGAGTTTCATCAAGTACTAGTTTCGGATTTGAATGGATTTTTTGCAACAATAATATCTAGAGGAAGCCCTATAAACAAAATGGTTCAAAATATTGAAATACAATGCAGTGTTGATCCTACAAAAATGTCGTTTAAGTATACTTAATTGAGGAATCCCTCAATTGAAGCGGAGCTCTCAACAATATGTGTGTAAGGTCTTTGATATTTTCTTGGTAGAAGGCCTTTGACAATTCAAAGAGTAAGAAACTAAGTAATGAGACATCAACGTATAAGAGAGAAAAAAATGCAAGTGACATGTTTATTGAAGAGGAAACAAAAGAAGCAAATAAGTTCTCACTTCTCACAACTAAACAAGCAGTGTCATCTTTGACATTCCGGGACCATGTGCGAAACTTATAAGAGACCTCCTTATGAGAGTCTTTCAGAAAAAAAAAATTAAGATGAATTGATGCTAGAAAACAATAACTTTAATTGGAACAACTGATTATAAGTTTACAATGAGATTAAGAAAACCTAAACATACCAATTCCAACTTAATAAAAATGTAATTTACCTTAATTATTTTGTTTTGTGAATGTTTATACCAGACTTGAAATTCATAGGTTTTGTAGATAGCCAATTTCTTGTCTAAAGGTGTAACTAGTTCTATAGCTTTTATATGGCTCAATGTCATTCACATATGAATTTACAAATCCTTACGAAAATGTAATGCAGATTTCAATATGATGGGTCACATATATTGTTGATAAGATTAAATGTGTAATTGTTGAATGGGCCCAAACAAATGTTGTCCAAAAGCTTTGACATGAAAAATTTGGGTGAAGTTTATTATGTTTTAGGTATGGAGATTATGAGAAATAGAATGAAGAGAACACTAGGGTTATCTCAATAGAATTACATTGATAGAATTCTTATAGGATTCAACATGGAGAATTGTAGTGGTGGTGATGTTACTATTGCTAAAAGGGATAAATTTTCTCTTTCACAATGTCCAATGACTTATCACAAGATTGAAGTCATGACAGACAAGCTATATGCCTCTAGTTGGTACTCATCACATGGCTGCGAATCAATTGACAAGGACATTACATGTAACAACATTTCAAAGACGTTTGCCAAATATGGGATTGCAGGCAATCATGGATCATATTTGAACGTGGGAATAAGGCAATTTTCCACTGTCTTACGTATACGTTTTGATCAGAAAATGTGTTTGTAATGTTCACAAGTTGTTTTACATGACGATGTAATTCATTTGTAAAAACTCAAGTCTAATCAAATACATGTTTGTGTTTTTCAATTCTTGTAGAAATATGGGCTAACGAGTGACATATGCAGTCTCATTATTATATCAAGCAATGTGGGAGTCATGCTTAAGTTCAAAGAGTTTCTCATCTGAGCTTGCTCTGAACGTATCTCTTAGGTTTGATTAGTTTATGATTATGTTGTCTAAAGTTCGACTGATGAATCTTTGAGTACAGATAAGGATCTTTTTGTTTATCATATTTCAACGATCACCTACTTGTTGCATACAAGACTGAATAGTTATGATCACTCTCATGTGGGAGAATGTGAGAACTTTCATGTGAAAGTTCATCAAAACCATTTAATTGATATATCAAAGAACAAGCTTAAGGGAATTATGACTATATTAGACCTTATTACGTATTGAATACACATTAATTATAAGAGGGAAAACTATATAATTTGTACAAATATGAAATGGAGACAATATATAAACTGGAAAGAAACCGACGGCAACTGCTTCCATGATATGTGGAGCAGTTGCAGCTTATAAGACAATTTTGATCCGCTTTCTCGAGTAAGGATGTAGGGGATTTGTAGACGTGAGTCAACCCCGACAAGTTAGGAGAATAATTATTTATTAGGAATATAATTGTGTTTCCTAATTTAGTTAGAAGTCCTTTATTATTCCTTTTATCACAAGATACATTTCATATATAATGCCTCCTAGAGGGAGAAGAATAAGATAACGGTTAAACATTTTATCTTATAGTTTTATATTGGTATCAGAGTAGGTTTCGACCTATCTCTTTTTCCTACCTTTTACCCTAGCTGCCGATCTCTGTAAACCCAGAAAAATCCTACCGTGGTCTTGAAGCAAGAGAACCACCTACTAAAAGAAGAAAAGAAAAAAAAAAGCCTAGAAACCTAAATCACAAACCCCATCGTGGTCTCAAAGCAAGAGAACCACCCATTGAAAAAAGGAAAAAACCTACAAACCTAGATCACAAAACCACTTACCATTGTTTCAACAAAATCCAAAAAAAATCCTCAGCTAAACCGTAGAAACAGACAATCAAAACCATGAGTCCCATCGTGGGTTCAATGACCTGCAGTGGAGCGTCTTGTAGGCCTTGTAGCAGTGAATTCTAGCGGGCTGGGCTTGCCATGCTTGAAGCCCAATGTCCAATGGGGCAAAAAGCAGTCATGTACAGCAGCAGCCATGTGGGCATGGGACCGCTTGGCCCATCAGCAGCCACCAAACCAGAATTGAACTCGGACCGAGAGTTGTTGGGCCCACAGCTCACATTTTTAAATTTGATTACTTCCCAAGAGCAATCCGATGATCTATGTAACACAAGCAAAACCTTAGACTAGCTTAGACTAGACTAAACTGGACTAACTTAATGGAGTGTTTGGTGCAGTATTGGACTAAGAAGCTGGATAATAACAAATTCTAATATTATATTATTTAATATAAAAATTATTAATATTTTATTATGATCTTATTTTTTTCTTCATCTTTTCGTACCATTTCCGTCCCACTCTTTTCCTCTTCTCTCATCGTCCCACCCTCTCCCTCTTTTTTTCCTTTTAGACCTCTCAATTCATGTCTCTTTCTCATTCCTGGTCAAACTCCTTATTGATTTTAGTGTCTATTTCTCTGTCCTCCCTCCCTCTCTAGCTATGTGTTGTTCGAATGGAACCTCACGGCTCCAATTTTGCCGACGAGTTGCAGGTTTCCCGATGTGTTTTCCGGCCAACCCTTGTTAAATTGGATGAAGTTAACACCACCAAAAAATTCATCACCATCCCTAGACCGAGATCTTAGCTTTGAATGCTCGAATCTGTCATGGATTTGAAGAAGCCCAAACAGGCCGAGACTTCCAAGCCATTTTCCGGCCACATTCGACCACATTTTGGCCTCTATTCAGGTAAAATCGTAATCTTATCATTCCCAGCTTCAATTTGGTATATTTTATATGAAAGTTGGTTGTGAAATGGATTTGAAAGGGAGTCGGAAAGTTAATGATTGATCTAGATGACCGGAGATGACAAGGAGTTTGTCGGGAGTGGTCGTTGAGCATGACGAGGACGAGAAAGAGAGGATAGTCTTAGCTAGTCCCATGGTTATTGGGGGGTTTCGCTAAGACCTCTTTGTGAAGGGTTTTGTCCATGCTAGTCCCCTTTAGTCTCATTAATGTTAGTCCCAGTATGGAACAAACACAGTATTGGACTAATAGCTAGTACAGTCCAGTCCAGTCCAACTTAGTGAGGGCAAACAAACGCCCCCTAATTGCATTAATTGATCTTGATAGAGGTTGGATTATTGACTCCGGAGCCACTAATCATATGACTTTTGATCGTACTTTACTTAATTCTACAACACCACCACCACGAGATAGTATTGTCATTGCTAATGGAGGTGTTGCCTCGGTTACAGGGATGAGTTTAGTAGCACTCACTCCTACTCTCTCATTACATAACTGCTTACTTGTTCCCATACTCTTTAGCCATTTGTTATCAGTGGAACAAGTCACCGAGCAATTAGACTATGTTATGCTAATGTTTCCGTCTTTCTGTTTACTTTAAGATATATGAACTCAGGTAATTATTGGGTGTCGTACTAAGAGAAGGGGATTGTACTATGTTGACAATGTTGCGCAAGGTTGGGTTCACAAGTTCGAAGTTGTGATAATGGAAATGTGAAGACTGTTCAATTGTGGCACCATCGCCTAGGTCATGCCTCCTTTGGCTATTTGCAAAAATTACTTCCATCATTATTTAACAATATTCCATATTCTTCTTTAAAGTGCAATGTATGCACATTAGCTAAAAGTCATCGAGCTTCGTATCCTCCAAGTTTTAATAAAACAACAGTTCATTTTGAATTGGTTCACTCTGATGTATAAGGGCCATCTCCAGTTCCTACTCAGCATAGTGTGCATTGGTTTATAACATTTCTTGATGACTGCACCAAAATGACTTGGTTATATCTCATGAAACATTAGAGTGATGTGGGTGAAATTGTCAAAAGGTTTTATCATATGGTCTACACACAATATTAGCTTTCGAATAAGGTACTTCGGTTTGATAATGGTGGTGAATACATTAATCAAGACCTTTCTCAGTTTTTCTAGGACAAGGGCCTTCTCCATGAGACTACTTGTCCTCAGACCCCACAACAGAATGGAGTAGCCGAACGGAAAAATTAACAAATACTTGAGATTACTTGAGCCCTTCTCATTGGTGCTTGCACACCAAAGACTTATTGGGCTGATGCAATGATCTGTGTCATATATTTAATGAACCAAATTCCATCACATGTTCTTTTTTTTTTCGCACTCCGTTGGCCGTGCTTGGTGACCATGTTTCCATTTCCTCCATTCTTCATCTTAAACCACAAGTTTTTGGTAGTGTGGCACACATCCATCTTCACAAAAACCAACGAAGCAAACTTGATCCGTGTGCAGTCCAGTGTGTTTTCATTGGCTTTAGTCCCTAACAAAAAGGTTACCCATGTTATCATCCACCTACCCAACATGTATACGTCCCCATGGACCTCAGGGGTAGACAACTTTAGACGAAGACTATGGCTGGTTTGATGTACATGCCGACTACCCAAATAATAAGTGTGTTTAAGACCGTGAACTTGGGCATATGCGTGCGGAGACAAATGGGACAAATGATGGAATTACTGATAAGGCTGATGATAAGCTGACAAATAGGACAAATGGGCCACCAGCATATGGGCTACATGATGATGGCCGGACAAAGACAACATCATATATTGATAAGCATGATGATGGGCTGCTGATAGAAATAACGGCATCTAGGCCGCATAATGGTACTTGCCCACATGAGCTTGGGCTCTTTCCTATTACTGAAGGCTCTGCCGCTGCTGACGCCAGCCTAGGTGGACTTCTCGCTGCTGAGACCTACCTAAATGGGCCTTCTGCCACGTGCCCGAGTATCATCTCAAGAAACAACCCTCCTCACACTCCTCCAAAATGGGTCTATGATCCAACAGATATCCTCGAGGTAATACTCACTATGAAATTATTCAACCACTTTATGTGTTACCTCCTAGACAGAATCGAGGAAAGCTGCCAGAAAGGTACTTTCCAGAAGGGGAGGTATGATACCCTATTGTGAATTGTGTCTTCATATATCGACTCCCGCCGAAATACTATGCACTTGTTAACAGATGAACACCATCAAAATACCTACCAGAATGGAAGAAGCCTTGAAAAATCCAAAATGGACAGAGGCAATGCAAATTGAGATGGAGGCATTACATAAGAGTAATACGTGAAGTGTGGTTACACTTCCTAAGGGGAAAAAAAAATTGTACGGTCTCAAGCAGTCGCCTAAAGCATGATTTGGAAAATTCACTCAGGCCATGAAAAAGTATGTATACAAATAGGAGAAACTCAGATCATACTTTATTCATCAAATGCAAGGATGGTAAATTTACTTTACTCATTATATATGTTGATGATATGATTATCATAGGGGATGATACGAAGGAAATTGAACTGGCTACATAGGTACTTGGCTTTAGAGTTTGAAATGAAAGATCTAGGGGGACTCAAGTACTTCCTAGGTACTGAGGTTGCTAGATCTTGAGAAGGGATATAATTGTCACAATGTAAGTATGTGTTAGACTTGTTGTCTGAAACAGGTATGCTGGCATGTAAACCTGGCAGATACTCCAATTGTGCAAAATCATGACCTTGCGATATATCAAGATCAAGTTCCAACAAATAAGGAGAGATCTCAAAGGTTAGTGAGAAGATTGGTTTACTTGTCCCTTACTAGGCCAGACATTGCTTATGCGGTAAGTGTGGTGAGTCAGTTTATGCATGCACCGAGTGAAGATCACATGGCAGCAGTAATGCGAATCCTAATCTATTTAAATGGAGCTCTAGGAAAGGGTCTAATGTACAAAAAGCAGGGACACATGGAGGTGAAAGGCTATACTAACGCAGATTGGACTGGGAATATTACTAATAGACGATCTACATCAAGTTATTTTACATTCATAGCCTGTAATCTTGTGATTTGGGGAAGTAAAAAACATAATGTAGTGGTGAGGTCGTTGGCAGAAACTGAATACAGGGGAATGACACATGGTATTTGTGAACTTTTGTAGATTCAGATTCTTCTTACTGAGATTGGCTTTAAACCCAAGGGGTCTATGTTGTTGTACTGTGATAATCAAGCAGCTTGGGAGATAGCTAACAATCTGATGCAACATGATAGGACCAAACATGTGGAAGTGGATGGACACTTCATAAAGGAGAAACTTGACGTTAAGTTGGTTGACATTCCATTTGTGAAGACAGAAGAACGGTTGGTAGATGTTCTAACACATGCAGTTTCTGCTACCAGGTTTCAAAACTCACTCGACAAGTTGGGCTTAGAAGATATCTATGCACCAACTTGAGGGGGAGTGTGGACATGAGTCAACCCCGACAAGTTAGGAGAATAATTATTTATTAGGAATATAATTGTGTTTCCTAATTTAGTTAGGAGTCCTTTATTATTCCTTGTATCACAAGATATATTTCATATATAATGCCTCCTAGAGGGAGAAGAATAATATAACGATTAAACCTTTTATCTTATAGTTTTATCTACTCTTGTTGATATGAAGATCATCTCTCCAAAAATTCATTTAAACCGAAGGTAGTTTAGTCAATCATTGGTAGCAAACAGATAAACGTTTTGTGATGATTTTATCAGTTCAGGCCATATATTTTTACATAGGTCAATGTCTAAACTTATGTAACAACTCCTACATATTAATTAATTAATTAATAAAGTGCAGACTAAGTCATTCATGAGTTTTGGTTTTATATTACAGAAATAATAAACTATGAATGAGTACATATGATTTAAGGTATGGAAACAATGTCCTAAACAAGGTTAGGGTAGGGAGGCTTGTATTCCATAGTTACTTAGTCCTTAAACAAAGTTCCTAACTGTTTAGGAAGTTAACTAGACATTGACTATCTGGAAGGACCGGTCTATATCGCAATAAGGTTAACATGGTTTCATATCACAATAAGGTTAGCATGGTTTTGTGCTAGGCGTGATGGACACGTAATGGATGTACAAGTGTTTGTCTATTGAAAAAGTTCACTAAACACTGACCGTACCAAGAAGCTTAAACATATGGATGCCAATGGCAAGGTGGCACTGACACCACCACCGCTACCTACCATCATCACCAATGTCCCGCTGCCACCACCCACGATCGTCATCACTGCAATCATCTCCACCTCCACCACCACACTATCATCACCACCATCTCAGCCTCCAGCCACATACCAGCATCATCGTTGCTACTGCAAACCACTGCCCAAAATCATCACCGGCGTCACCACCACCCACCATCACATAACAGATTGGATTACCATTTTAATTAGCTATAATCCGTCTCATCCAGCCCACGAAACGGTTCTTACTCCTTAAAGAACTGAAAAGCAAGTTAGGCTCATTTATTAAATAAATTAAATCCTTGTTCGGCCTATATATCGAACCTGGGCTCAGCCCTTTATTCGGACACAAACAGTCAAAAGTGCAGATTTTGGAACAAAACCCCTTCTTGCTCTTTCACGCCGCTGCCATTGAATTTGAACAAATCTCCTGAAGCCGCCCCGCTCCGCTCCACTCCTCCACTCGGCTCCACTCCACTCCACTCCACCATCACATTTCAGCCATGGCGGAGCTCAAGCTCTCAGAGAGTCGAGACCTGACCCGAATAGAGCGCATAGGCGCACACTCCCACATCCGCGGCCTCGGCCTCGATTCTGCCCTAGAAGCCCGCGACGTCTCCCAAGGCATGGTGGGCCAGACTTCCGCCCGAAAGGCCGCTGGCGTCATTCTCCAGATGATCAAGGAAGGAAAAATCGCGGGTCGGGCTGTTCTTCTGGCGGGTCAGCCGGGAACCGGCAAGACCGCCATCGCCATGGGCATGGCGAAGTCGCTCGGCCTCGAAACCCCGTTCGCGATGTTGGCCGGAAGCGAGCTCTTTTCTCTGGAGATGTCGAAGACCGAAGCCCTAATGCAAGCTTTTAGGAAAGCCATTGGGGTTAGAATCAAGGAAGAGACTGAGATCATCGAGGGCGAGGTCGTGGAGGTTCAAATTGACCGGCCTGCGGTGGCCGGAGCAGCTTCGAAGACGGGGAAATTGACGCTGAAGACAACGGAGATGGAGACTGTGTACGACTTGGGGGCCAAGATGATTGAGGCTTTGGGGAAGGAGAAGGTGCAGAGTGGGGATGTGATTGCCATCGATAAAGCTTCTGGGAAGATTACCAAGCTTGGTAGGTCATTTTCGAGGTCAAGGGACTACGATGCCATGGGACCGCAGGTTAAATTTATGCAGTGCCCGGACGGGGAGTTGCAGAAGCGCAAGGAGGTTGTGCATTGCGTCACACTTCATGAGATTGATGTCATCAACAGCAGGTACTTCAAAATCTCAGCTTGTATTTTTTCCTAGTCTTAATTTACAGAGCATGCTGCTGTAAATTACAAGTTAATGAGTTTATGCAATCATATATTCTTGGGAAAGTTGTAATATTTTTGGGCTAATGGGAAATTAGTAATTAGCTTGTTAATGTGTTATACATTAATGAATGTATGTATTCCGTACTTAGAAGTTACCTTTTAGAAACAAGCTCTATGGGTTTTTTTTTTGTTCGTTCATTACCCCAATAATTAGTCAATGGTACCTTTTACTCCCTTGTTAGTCCACTGTTGAGGATGATGGTCTATCGATGAATTCTATGACGTAGTTATCGGTGGTGTAGGGCACTAAGAATCCTTTTGTGTCTGAGTTGGATGTTTTGTAGCTCAGCTGTGGTTAATTTGGAATTTACTTGAGTAGTTGGTTTGAATCATTTAGAAGTTAGAAAGTAGAACTTTCTCTCCTCTTCTATGTGCATCAAACAAAGAAAACAGTTTATATCGTTTTTCTGTTTTGAAAAAGTATATGTAGGATTTTAAAGCTACATGTACCAAGGGAAGGGTTTGAAAAACAACATAGTACCCTTAATCATGAATTGCCAAAGCCACTGTAGCCAAATAGAATCGTTGAGAAGTTTACGGGCCGGCTGTTGTGAGATTTCTCTCTGTTGACTATCTGCTTACCAAACTTCTCACATTTCTTTAATTTTTGTTTTTCGTTTTTCGTTTATTTTAAGGTAATCATGTAAGAAGGGGAGAAGAGGGGAATAGCATAGGATTTAGCTTTCCCAAGAGGCTCTAACATCAACATATTCATCAGGTCACCTTCCAGGCAAACTTGCTTTGAATACCCAGTTGTTTGCATCTATTGGTGCCTACATGTCTTGGATGGGTTTATTTTGTTACAGAACCCCTAGGAAAACCTTCATTCAGTCACCTTCCGACCAAAATTAGAAAGTTTAACCTTAAGAACTTAAAGGCAGCTTGATCAAAATCTGTCTTTTCTGAACCTTGAACCCAAACTTATTGCCAGGTTTGGGCGAAAGAGTGAACTTTTTTCTGTTGCTACAAAGTGGTTCCAGTTTTTATCTCATTACTCAGATGTACTTTTTTTGGTCACTTAAATTTGCAGGTTAAATCTGAATATAACAGAACTCTGTATCTATTTTCCATCTTAGAATTCGCAAGAGAGAAGTGCATATGTGTTACATGCTTAGATGTTATAGAATATCATCACTTTTAATTTTTTGGGTTATTAAGGTTTGATGTAATAAGTGGCTTCTTTCATAGGCATACACATGAACATAAATCTCTACACGATGTTTTAGGAATTTATCAATCTTTAAGATTGTGTAACTTTGTTTGGTGTTATAATTGTGATCAAGATAACTGTGGCTGCTTTGTTGCTTTATGTTTCTAATGAATTCTGTATACAATGGATACATTGCAACTGGCACCTATATTAAAGTCTGCTCAAATTTAATAAATGAATCTTGGCTTGTAAGTTGAGGAGGTCTTGTTTTTTTAGTGGTGGAGGTGGGGGTTGTTCTACTTTAGACTCAGTACCGGCTGAGGATTAACATGACATTCTGTTATCTGATTTGATTATCTCTCTCATCCAGGACACAGGGATTTCTGGCTCTCTTTACCGGTGATACTGGTGAAATCCGCTCAGAAGTGAGAGAACAAATTGACACAAAGGTAGCAGAGTGGAGGGAGGAAGGGAAGGCAGAAATTGTACCAGGTGTTCTCTTTATTGATGAGGTGCACATGCTTGACATTGAGTGCTTTTCATTTTTGAATCGTGCATTGGAGAATGAGATGGCTCCCATATTAGTTGTTGCTACCAACAGAGGAATCACTACAATCAGAGGCACAAATTATAAATCCCCTCATGGAATTCCTATTGATCTCCTTGATCGACTGCTTATTATCACCACCCAGCCTTACACAGAGGATGAAATTAGTAAGATTCTGAACATCAGATGCCAAGAAGAAGAAGTCGAGATGTCCGAAGAAGCAAAGCATTTGTTGACCAAGATTGGTGTTGATGCATCCTTGAGATATGCTATACATCTCATAACAGCTTCTGCGTTGGCATGCCAAAAGCGAAAGGGAAATATTGTGGAGATGGAGGATATTAACCGAGTTTACCATCTGTTTTTGGATGTGAAGAGATCAACACAATACTTGATGGAGTATCAGAGTCAGTACATGTTCAGCGAGGAAGGTGACGACGATGATACCAATGCCATGCAATCTTGAGAGATTTCTTCAGCCTAGAAACAACTGTTTATTTTTGTATCTTACTTTCGTGTAGGCAGCACTGAACTTATTCATGTGAAAATTGCATTACTACCTTGGTATGTAATGTTTAACTGTTAGATTTTCGGTGTGAATCTGTAAGCTGAAAGCCGCAGCAGCAGCGTTTAAGGAGTTCTGAGAGGACAAAGTTGAACCGATGCTGTTTTTAATCCGTCGAAGATTTATTGAGCTTTGCTTTTTACAACTCTTGGAACGGTTAGATTCGAAATGAACGTGATGGAAGGTGTGTATTTGTTTTGCAGGTACAATTTTGTCAAAATTGAAAATAGGCGGAAATTTGCTATCACATTATACTTTTGAAGTTATGTTAATGATAATATGATTCACAACTAGGTAATGCACAGAAGGGGGAACCGCGTGAAAAGTTAAACAAATCGTTGCCCGAACGGAAAACTAGTTAAATAGTTACATAAACGATAAGTCGATAAGAAAATACAGTGGACGAATTACAGGACCGGCAACCAACCATGTGTTTCACCATGTCAAACTTGAAGGATTCCTAATTTTCAGTTAAACATAAGACATTGGCTTAATTAGCTAATATCTGCTAATTCTGTTCATCATCTCATGCATCTTTGCAGGATGTGGAATTTTCGGAGAAATGTTTCCCAATATAGGCTTCTAAGCTCCCTAACTTTGTTCTTTTGTTGTCTTACTATTCTCTAAATCTTCTGTTGATCAAACAGGAAACATCTTTAATCCGGCAGCAATCGGCATCCCTAAAAACCCAATGAATACAGTGACGAACCATTGTGCCAAGGAGAGGGGTGCTGTGCTTGCAAATTTTCCCAGGAACTCGATAATAATGATTTGGAACACAACTGTGAAACTGAGGACTGCGACGAAGACATAGTTATCCAGTATGCCCTTGAAGACATCTATTTCCTCCATCTCTCGCGAGCTTATTTCGTTGAAAACCTGCATAAACAGAATCAGGTCACCCTTCGTAGCAGTAAAAATCGTCAGCATTAGTCCTTGTATGAGTAATTTTAGAAAAGATTACCTGGCAGAACACAAATGTGTTGAAAATCAATGTGTTGAGGATCACATGAGAATCCGGTCCGTATAGACCAAACATTGCTTCTCCTTTTGCCTGAAGGAACCAAATCATCGTAAACTGATAGAAAGACTGCCCCAGAATGTTCCTCCACATTACATTGGTGATAAAGTTCTGTCTCTTTCCAACTGGCGGACGCTTCATTAGGTCATTATTCGGAGGCTCAGTTGCAAGAGCAAGGGCGCCTAATGTGTCCATGATCATGTTAACCCACAATAGCTGCACAGCTGTGAGAGGAGCGCTCCCTGAAGCACGATTTTTGAAACGCAGAAGTGAGAAATGGTTTCTACGAGGGATAGGAAAGTATGGCCAATTTTGTTACACAAGTGGACAACATATTGAAAATGTGAGCCGGCTAACCTGTCAAGCAAGCAGAGGAGAAATTCACGATCAATGCAACTATATTAACCGTCAGCTGGAATTGCACAAATTTTTGAATGTTGATGTAAACCGAACGTCCCCATTTCGCCACTGTTACGATGGTGGAGAAATTATCATCCAGAATTATAACATCAGCGCTCTCTTTGGCCACCTGAAAGCATGGGAAATATGATTAGTTAAGGGCCTATTCTGTAACGCTTGCTTCGTAAGGGACAACAATGAATGTGAAGATATCTGGCAATATAGAGGACTATATAATATATACTCACCTCAGTTCCAGCAATCCCCATGGCTAGTCCAATATCTGCCTCGTGCAGCGCTGGGGCATCGTTTGTTCCATCACCGGTGACAGCAACAACTTCATCAAATGTGGTCCGCAAGTGCTGCACCAATGTATGCTTGTCAAGAGGTGAAGATCGAGCCATCACCTACACGAGAACTCAAGTTTCAGCATCACGGATTCATAAACCATACTTGTTAGTCAGTAAGAAACAAATCCGAGCGATTATATTCCTCAAAGGAAAGGGAGCTAGTACCTGAATTTTAGGAATCAGAGAAAGCAATTCTTCCTGATTCTTCTCTCTGAACTCCGGACCTTCAATGGCTATGCCATCATCGGTGAGAATCCCACATTCTCTTGCAATAGCCTTTGCAGTATTTATATTGTCTCCAGTAACCATTCTTACTGTAATGCCAGCTGAACGGCAAATTGCAACAGACTCCTTGACACCGGGACGAACAGGATCCTTAATTCCCACAATTCCTATACAAGTAAAACCAGAAACAGGAATGGGATTCTCTGGAGAGAAACCAGTTTCTAGTTCTGTATACGCAAGACATAGAGTTCGAAGAGCCTCGCAAGCAAATTGCTCAATAGTAACTTTGAGATGGTTGAGGGATGCTTCATCAAGGGGAACAACATCGCCATTTGAGGTAATCACCTTGTCGCAGCTGGCCAAAACTATTTCTGAGGCACCTTTGGTGTGCGCTCTCAGACCTCCTTCAGGAAGCTCCAAGATTACCCCCATCCGTTTCTTCGTTGAGTTGAATGGCTCGACTTTAACAAGCTTAGAAGCTTGTCCCGCTGCTTGGAAATTTCCACCTACTGACAAGCCAAGTTCCAACAAAGCTGTATCTGTAGGTGTTCCCAACAGCTCATACTTTCCAGCTTTGTTAACCACAACTTCTCCGCCAGTGTTGTTAAAGATTGATTCTAGCAAAAGTTTCTTAGCAGTTTCCGGAAGATCAGAGAATAAGCTAGAGGCCTCATTGGGATTGCTCAACTCCTTGACATTCATGCAAATGCATGATTTTACAATGGTCATGCGGTTGGTTGTTAGCGTCCCAGTTTTGTCACTGCAAATATTTGTGGCTGATCCCATAGTCTCGCAAGCTGCCAGATGGCGAACGAGTGCTTTATCATTCATCATCTTCTTCATGGCAAAGGCAAGGCTCAATGTCACAGCCAGCGGCAGCCCCTCAGGGACAGCAACAACAACAATTGTAACTGCAACAGCAAAGAATTCCAGCATCTGCATTGCATCATCTCCATTCCAGCTCCAGTGTGTCCCCTCAGCCAGTTTACGACTAAACAATCCTTGCACCATAACTGCAAAAGTCACAACGGCGAATAAAAGGCCTATCTTTCCAATAATGGTTGCCACTCCATTCAGCTTCACCTGCAGTGGGGTTTCATCATCTCCACCTTCGCTTAGAGTCGCCATCAATTTACCCCACTGGGTTCTCATCCCAACCGTTGTAACCATCATCTTGCATGACCCGTCTTGGACCTTAGTCCCCGAAAGAAGAAAAGGGTTTTCAGGAGTTACCATTATTGGCTCACTCTCACCAGTTAAGCTTGATTCGTCAATCAACACGGAAAATCCTGATACGAATAGCCCATCTGCTGGCACTTGGTCTCCAATAGAAAGATGCACAATATCGCCAGGCAGTAAATCATAGATTGACATTTTCTGCCTATATCCATTTCTTGTTACTTGCATCGCAATCTTCTTTTTCTCCTTGTCCAAGTCCTTAAACTGCAACGATTGGCGGTAATCACTCGTTGCTGTTACAAGAACAACCAACAGGATACTCGCAACGATTCCAAGTCCATCATGTGCTCCAACTGGCCACCCTTCCATTGCTATCCCAACTACCAAAGACACGAATGCACACACTCCGAGGATGATAAGAGTCATATCCTGAAGGGCTTCCCAAACAAATATCAAGAAACCCCGTTGCTCACTCTCGGTAAATTTATTGATTCCATAAATCTCCTGTCTTCGAGTGTGCAAGTCTGATTCGGTGTTGAGCCCATCTTTTACTGATGTGGAGATCTTTTCTGCGATGCCACTTACTCCGCCATGAAATTTTAGCTTCTTTACATCGTGGCCTTCAACAATGGATCCCAGTTCATCAGCGCAAATGTGAAAACCTGCGTCCGTAACTTCCTTGGGTACGACGTAGTCGCTTGGCTGCACACCTGCAGACATTAGAAATTTAGAACAACCATAAAACCACCTCGTCTTGTTATATGATGAACTGATGATGTTTCATCTTTAATGCCAAATAGACTCACCTTGAATAAATTGAAATGCAGCTTTAGAAACCAAAACAGCAATCCTCAGTTTCTCCTGCAATTTTCAAACCAGAAATTTATCAAAGGATTAGTAAGAAAACTACAATTTGAAACGTCTTGGTCGTCTCTGTGTTTGTTAAACAGAGCATGAATGCTCTAGTACGCATGCTATATGATTAATCATGGGAATCATATTGTTTTATGGTCTGTAACCTTCGTATTAATTTATTAAATAATTAGCACTTGAGCGTTAAATCAATACATAACATCCATCGACTGACAGACGAGGTATTTCTAACAAGAAAAAGAAGAAGAGCGAGAGAGGTGAGATGAAATAAAGACCTGATTGGTACGGCGCATAGCAGCAGCCTCGAAACGTTTGGAAAGATTGGCAGTGAAGCGAAACCGCCGTTTGGGTTCTTGACAACGCTGCAAAGGTTCCTCCATTTCTGCAACGTTTCTTCAGACGAACCCTTCGGCTTCACTTCCCCGAACTCTTGCAAATAGCTCTCCATCGACCAACTAATTTAACTACCTTTCTTTCACTTTCTTATCCAAGCAATTAATTATATTTTATTCTTTTTATCACAACCTCCTCCTACAGATTAAACACACAGGCATATATATGTAGAGCGAAACGCGTAGGAAAAGCGCTTTTGAGAAAAGGAAGTTTCAGTAACATTTCTCGGAAAGAGGAGAGACAGTGAGGAGGGGACCTGAGAAAATAAGAAAATGGGATTTGTTTTCTTCTTCTCTGTGCATTTGTGTACGGAAAATACGAAAAAACGGAGAGGAGGAAGAACGACTGAGGATCCGAAATTTTGGTGGGAATTGCGTGGCTTGAGAGCTAATAGCGCTTCTTCGTCTTCTTCCTCTTATTTGTTGCCCTATCTCTCCTAATATTTGCGCGGTCAACGTTCAACACTAAAAACTGCAAAGTTTTGGATGTTAAATAGAGTTTACTTCGAAACAATTGATGCTTAACAAAAAAAGAAAGACCAGGTTAAATAATTCTAAACAATTTTAGTGGAACAATGTTTGAAAATCAGGAAGAAATAATCAATCAAATATCAGTTAAGACAGTTAATTTTGCATCCAAGTTCAATTTCTCTCTATATTAGAGCAGTTTAAAACTACGCGAAATTAATAATTATATAAGAATTAAGGAGTAGGGCTAGACTTAGCCTCACAATGAGTTAGTAATAATGTAGTTTAAATTCCCCATTGGCAAGAATCAAGCCTAAGACTACTTACAAGTGAAGAGAAATACTACTAGATTGTAGTACTAAGTAACGGATTTAAGTTTAAGTTAAATGTTAGACATTGTATATTTTTACAACGATGATATTGGAATTTCAAAATCATGATCCTTTTTACATTATCTTCAGGTGGCCTCATGTCTCTACTTTAGCTAATGGAGTCCTTCAAGGAAAAAGAAAAGTTAATGGAGTCACTATCGTTGTAACGCTGACAAAACTATTAATCTATATGAAAATCATCGAGAAATCCACAATCACCAACGGTTGTGCTCGCGTCTCACACATCACAACCATTTTTGTCTACATATATTGTGAATTTAGTATTGTAAGTCACATGAAGTACTGATAAAAGAATGTGAAGAATACTACTGAAATTTAAAAGAATAAGATAACGCGGTTTGGGTACTGAAATTTAAAAGAATAAGGTAACTATACCGCGTTGCGTACGCGTATGGCAGAAGAGGGGACCAAGACTTAGAGACAACTCGTACCCTGTAATGCGACAAGAATAAAAGGAAAGACCAAAAGCTTGTCCAAAAGTCTACCGCTGACGTTTCATGGCAACCACCTTCCTCTTCTTTTAAGTCTATAGTGTTTCATTAGGGCATGTTTGATAGTGTTTGGAGAAAGCATCATTCACAAATCAGCAGAGAACGTATGCTTTGAGTTTTTTTTTTTTTTTAATGGGTACAGACATTTAACATAACTAAATTGGGTTTGTGAGGATAATTTATGTAGTAAATTTGGATTTAAAAAGATATTGATAGTTTAATTAAACCTAATTTTGGTATAGTAAGTAAGCTGGTATAGAAAAAAGTTATATGTGTTCAAATAAAATTTCTTAATGTCAATTCTTATATAACATGATATGAAAAGACATGTAGCATGACATAGAATGATAAGAGGATGGATATTAAATTTGACAACAACTTCAAATATTTTTTTTAATTAATTATTACATGCTTTTTATTTGTTTAAACATTTATTGTTTCAGTTCTCAAAAACATTTATTGTTTCACATTTCTCTAAGGAGAGTGATGGGAAAGTTCCGGGAGCACGTGTATTCGGGGCGGTGCCAAAAGACCGAGGAGACGTGAGCGCTAGGTTGTCTATGTCACATCTTCGGTGATAGGCAGTTGACTACCGCGCTGATTAATCTTTAGGCGTTTAAAAATAAAAAAATAGTATCTAGAGCTCTTTAGGCATCCACCCAGCTTGCATAAGCACTCGCTTAGCCCACTTAGGTACCCGCTTATTTTGTGACTCTCACTTTAACAGAAAATTAATAACTCTTTCATTTTCGATTTTATTTTTGTTTAATAAATTGTAAGAAACTTGTTAAAGACTTGTATAAACACTCATTATATGCTTGTTTCCTATATTTTCAATATGTTAAAATACTTTAATCTATATGACATTTTATTTTGTAATTTTTTTTAGCCTAATACAATATGTATTTTTATAAATATAAATAGACATTTATTTATACGATATATAATATATTTACTTAAGTTGAGTGCCACAATTCGCAGCTCCATTGTGATGCCCGAATTAGCCAGGTTACAGGACGGAGAGGCCGCTATGATGATCTCCTCCAAAACAGCCATGATCTCGTCACCCCCAAAACTAAATGAGTACATATAAGGTCAAGTCATCTGCAGAATTCGAGTGGAGGTTTCTGTTGCAGGTTGGAATTTGGTGGTCTTAAAAATGTTGTTCAGTTTTAATGTCTGTTTGAATAAGAGTCCGTGTATTTTTGGTGTTGTGGAAGAAGTTAACTTTCACATGTTAAATCTACAAGTTTTCTACTTCTCGTACACAAAAAAAAAAAAGTAATAAAATATAGTTTAATTTGACATATTGGAGAGCAAACTTTAAATATGTCAAAGAGCTACATAAACTGACAAATTTAAATTTAATGATTAAAATTTTGCATCTCATTTGAAGATGGTCTAATTATGAGAAAATTAGACTATGGGTCTTTGAATTTTAACTCAATTGAAACTTTAATCTCTGAAATACAAATTTGTGAGTTTTGATCTCTAAACTTATCATAATATAAAAGTAATTACTTTTTTAGTAACATCATTAGAACTTCTATCCAAAATATAAGATTTAAAGAGGAAAATAACAAACCAAGGTTCTAACGCCCAAAATCCCATTATTCCACATTATGATAAATTGGATGATAAGGGTGTATTCAATTGGGATTTTGAGAGATTTAATTCATTTTATAAATTTAGGAATATTCAATGATGATTTTAAGTGATTCTTTGAAAGTCTAGGTATATTCAATCAGAATTCTAAAGGAGTTTATAACATTATAGGTGTATTCAATTAGAAATTGGTTTTAAAAGATTTTAAAAAGTTGAGGAATTTGAGAGATTTTATAGTGTATTTTAAGCAGTCTCAAAGCTCACCTCTCCCCCAGAAAAATTGAGGGAATTCAAATCCATTAAAATCCCCCAAAGTTCCAATTGATTACACCGCCTGATCCTCATAGATTTTCGTTAATTTATTATTCAATGTAAGTGCTACAAACTGGGCTATAAGATATGTAGCAACATGAGCAAAAACCTGATCCAACCAAGAAACACTTGAGGCCCAAAAAGCGTTAACGCGTTGACTACTAGAATTTAAGATTTTTTACAAGATCATGAATAAGGAAGAAGTGCGTACTTTTCTTTTTTTTAATAAACGACATTATTTATATTAAAGAGATGGGAGAGTGGGTTTACTTTCACAGTGGGTTAGCAATAATGTGATTCAAATTTGCCTTTCATGAGAACCGAACATAAAACCTCACTTACAAATGAAAATGATAATCAACATTTAGACCATAGTACTAAATGGCAACCCAATTATGTACTTATTCAAAGATAATCAACATTTCATGCTAGAATTCAAGCAAGGTTTGGAGAGAAAAAAAAAACATTTCCCACTGTAATTTGGGTTGAAGAAGCCCCTAGCAATAATGTGATTCAAATTTGCCTTTCATGAGAACCGAACATAAAACCTCACTTACAAATGAAAATGATAATCAACATTTAGACCATAGTACTAAATGGCAACCCAATTATGTACTTATTCAAAGATAATCAACATTTCATGCTAGAATTCAAGCAAGGTTTGGAGAGAAAAAAAAAACATTTCCCACTGTAATTTGGGTTGAAGAAGCCCCTAGCGGTGCGACCATGCAAGAAGTCCTTATTTGGCGACGGAAATGAGATTTTCAAACTTCTATCTAGAAAGGGATTCACTCGAATTCCTTACGACGTTTCATGTCCCCTCTATTAAAATGTCTAGTGTTGGACAGATTGGGGATGATTCAAAAGTGATGCTAAGTGGGATTCTCTACTAGAATTTGATCTATAGCCACGTACAAACCCATGGCTATTGATGTTAATGGGCACTAACGACTAGTGGCCGTTGAGGGTGGCCTGGAAATACTTCTTATATTTGTCGCAAAGTCAATGGTGTAGCTCATCTCCTTGCCTGTTATTCTCTTGTAAGAGAATAAATTGATTTCGAATTCGTCATCTACAAGATTCGAACCTAAGATCTCTCACTACCAGAGAAGAAGTGACACACCCTGACTCGGAATGTTCACCTGGACTCCGAATCAAGTTATGTTAGGCAACACCAGGAGGGTGACGAAGCCATGAAATGTAGTGATGTGGAAAATGTGAGTAAATTTAAACCTAAAAGTGCTTAAATGTAAGAGTGCGCTAGTGAGCGGAAATGAACCCATTTCACACGTGATGTCAGAATTAAGTAAAGTACAATAAAAGTAGAATGAGAGTTATACCATTGACAGTAATCTCCAATACCAAGATTGGCCAAGATCTTCGTCGATACGAAATCTCAACTACTAAAACCTGGAGGGGCGAAAAATAAGGTGAGTGGACCTAAAAATAAAGTTTTGTAAAAATCTTTTTGAAAACATAATAATCCCTCGCTGTAAAACAAGTATATTTTTTAAACATAACATATTGGTGTAGTATGAAAATACTTACCGTAAACAGTAAAATCGTCGAGGATGCAATACTCACATAACACTCGGTAACCCCAATATCTTGAATAAATAAACATATACTAACATGTGCTCATCGACATATGTTGACACACAAGTTCATGCAGTGGTATTCTAACATGAACATGACTGGGTGTAATAATGATTTACACTCTAGTACTACAATCACGTAAAAACTGGCGCTATGTGCGTCACATACGAGTCTTAATTGTCTATAACAATCTAGGAAAGAACTTGCACAGCTTTGGGTCGCCATTATGGGGATGTAAAGTATATTGAGAGTAATACATCGTTGTTTTGGGAAGCCTAAGTTAGGAGAAGTGGGATAGGATTAGTTTGCAAAAGTCCCGGAGTGTAGAACTATATTGGAATTGCCACAGTAGGGTCCTAGTGTTAAATCGTCTAGTTGAACTTCAGTGGCTTAAAGTTGATGTTATACAAATATGGTTATGCAAGCCTCCGTAATTTTTTTTTTTTTTTTTTTGAGTACTTTATCTCTGTAAGGAAAGAATTATTTTTTTATGAGAACGTTTTAGAATTTTAGTCAAAATAGAATGTAAGAGAAAGACTGCATAATGATAAGGATTTGATTATTGAGAGTGAGTTTATTGATAAATTTTAGTTTTATTGTTAATCTTATTTTGTACTTTATGGTAATTATGCAATTGGGTAGAAAAGACACTTCATATTTAAAATTTAAGTTGGGTGTAAAAAGAGGTTATATGAGTTCAAATAAAATTTTTCATTGACATCTCAACTAGAAAACGTCGTCTTTTTTTACTATTATTGTTGACACTTTATGACATCTCCAAAGTCTTAAATATGAGATTTGAAATTAATAAAAATGGTTTATGAGTTTATTCTCTATCAATTATTTTGGTTATTCTAAAAAAAATCTCTATTAAAGAAAGCTAAAATGATAAAAATACTCTTAATTTTTATCAAATCATTTGGGCCATTGTTTATTAAATTAAGGGTATTTTTGTCATTTTCATTTTTATTTAATATAATTTTTTCATGAAATGACTAAAATGATTGATGATGGACAATTTTAATAATACATTTTATTGATTTGAAATCTCATTAACCAAAATGACGAGTTATAAAAATCTATGGATGATTTTAACTAAAAAACCTTACGCTTCAAAACGAATTTTCAAATAATTTGACAGTGAATCGTCAAATCAAAGCATTGATTTTTCTTCCTTAACCATAAATAACTATTAATTCCACAAATCAAAAGAAGAGAAATAAGAAAAAGAGAATTTGAGTATTGAAATCGACGGTTGGCAAGCGACGATTCAGCACAAGACCGCGACAGCCGTCGATCACACACCACAAACTTGCCACCACGAAAATAAACAACCCTCTTCCTCTTTCACTTCGCTTCTTCCGCTCTCTCTCCCCAATTTTCCCAGACTCTCTCTCCGCCGTAAAGATGAGCAAGGGACCTGGACTTTTCACCGACATCGGCAAGAAAGCCAAAGGTAACGAACCGTTGTCTCTCACTTTCTCTCTCTCTCTCTCGCTCTTCGTCTCTGTGATATTTCTATTGTTTGTCGCTCTCTCGATCGCGTAATTTGCAACTGAAACGGTGTGTTTTGGCTTCTGTTGCAGATCTTCTGACCAAGGACTACAGCTCCGATCAGAAATTCACCGTCTCCACCTACAGCGATGCCGGCGTGGTACGCACTCGAAGCTCTTATTAAAGAAAATGTAATTGATTAGTGGAGAAAATATTTTTTCGGATCGGTGTTGTTTTGCTAGTGTGGCTTCTTTGAGCTCGATTATAGTGCAAATTTCATGCTATTTTCCGTGTTGGTTTCGAAATTGACGCTGTTGCATTTGAGAATTGAGTCATTTTTGTAGTTTGTAGCTTTCCTCTGCCCGAAATCAGTTTGTACGCTTGTTTTTTTATAAACTAGATCATATTTTTCGTTTTCAATTGATAACCATCTCGTTTTTAGTTTTTAGCTTTCAGTTTTTGCGCTAGAGATAGAGTGAAAGCGTATGTGTTTTATAAACCAGATTATGTATTTTGCGTTTTAGTTTGCTGTGTAGTCTTTTATTCAGGACTTGTGTTGATAACCATTTTGTTTTTAGCTTTTAGTTTTCGGTTTTTGTGCTAAAGATCGAGGGAAAGCGTATGGGACAAATGAAAATGGAAAAAGAAAGTGAGGGGTGATGGGAGGGAGGGGGGAGAAATGTGAAAGCAAGAACTTGAAAGTGAAAACAACTTAAAGTTGTTTTAGGTTTTGGTTTTGGTTTTTAGTTTCCATTTTGTGTCACATTTCTTTCATCATCCTTCCGTCACTGTTTTCCATTCCTCCTTTCTCCCACATACTTTCTTCTATCTGTAGCAGGAAAAAAAAAAAAAATGAAAACCAGAGAGAAAATGATTATCAAACGGGACCCTTAGTTGTTTTGGTATTCGAATACTAAATTTTTGTTAGAATTCTGTCTCTTAGGCAATAGAAGAGTTAAGTATTTCCTTGTCTTTGTTTTTTCTTGGAAACTGGGAGATTGTGGGGTTGTCTAATTTTCATTATTTTCGTGATTGAAGTACTTATCTGTTGGGATTTTTGTGGAAAAAAAATATAATTTACTATCATGACAGTTTCATTTGTTGTTACTCTGTATCTTATCCCTCCCTGTGCAGCTCTTTTCTTTGTGTTATGTTATTATAGATTTGGGCATATATGTGCATGCATCTTTTAATGACATAGGAAAATTCGCTTAGTAACACTTTAAATACATATTTTCATAAATAATAAAAGTGAGCTCTAACATACATGAAGGGAATATCTTGACTTATTAAAGGACATTGCTTCTGAAGTTTCATCTCTTATGTTTCTTCTTTACTAAGCTGGAGTGAATATTGTATTTTTCTCCTTTGAATTGTGTGTGTGTCAATTGACTCAATTCCAATCATTATGGTTACAGTTAATATTTGAAATGATATTTAAGTTTACTAAGATTCATCGTGATTCAATTTCAAGTAATATTGTATTGAAGCTTCAAAACTTGAGCTGAGAATGTTGGTGTAGAATTGGAACAGTTGGCTGTGGAGTATTATTAGGTCGATTAATGGATGAAAGTACAACAATTTTAAGAGTAACCTTGAGATTTTGCATACTTTTGTGCACAGAACGGTGTCTTGATTTTTTTTTTTTTTTTTTGAAAGCAAAAAGATGGGGAGACACCTGAAATGTCATCTAGTACCCATCGTTTTTAATTATCAGTACTGCAGTTGTTATTTGAATTGATATTTATAGCTCAGAAGTTCCATTTCCTACTATGCTTTAAGATCCATGCCATCATAAATTTTGAATTCTTACGATCAACCATAGACTATGGTAGTGTTCGTTTCTTGGAAGAAATTGTGCGAGTTATTGAGTTTATTCCTTGTCTGAGAAATTTTTGTTTTTGTTCCAATACTTTCCTTTCTGGATCCTTTAGGCCCTCACCTCAACAGCAGTGAAGAAGGGAGGACTTTCCACTGGGGACATCTTGACACAATACAAGTACAAGAACACGGTGGTTGATGTCAAAGTTGACACAGAATCAAATGTGGGTTGCGTTGTTTGTTGAATATTACAAACAATTCTCTTGTTCTTTTAAGCATGCCACTTTTCTCTTTGATTTGGCAGATCTCGACGACCTTCACGATCAATGAGATTGTCCCATCCACAAAAACTATAGCTTCATTCAAAGTGCCTGATTTCAACTCTGGCAAGGTATAAAATCTGGGATCTTTAGGCTAGGTGATATTTACATCTGTTTTTGTGATTAACTATATGATGAGTCATTTTTTAAATTTATTGTTCAGTTGGAGGTTCAGTACTTCCATGACCATGCAACCATCACTACAGCCGTTGCCTTGAATCAATCCCCAGCTATTGATTTTTCAGCCACCATTGGAACCCCAACCATTGCATTTGGTGCAGAAGGGGGTTATGACACTACGTCTGGAAACTTTACGAAGTACACTGCTGGAATCAGCATCACAAAGCCAGATCAGTCTGCTTCAATAATTCTGTAAGCATTTGTACCCTAACCTTTTATCATGTACAATAGTTTAAATTCGGTTGTTCTAGTATTAACGGTTATATATTCTGATATCAGTTCTCTCTCTCTCTCTCTCTCTCTCTCTAATCTCTCAGGGGTGACAAGGGAGACAGTATAAGAGCATCATATGTGCATTATATGGATCTGTTGAAGAGGAGTGCTGCTGTGGGAGAGATCACTAGAAAGTTCTCCACGAACGAGAACACTTTCACCGTGGGGGGGCAATATGCTGTTGATATCTACACTGTAGTGAAAGCTAAGCTCAACAATCACGGAAAGCTAGGAGCCCTCCTGCAGCATGAAGTCATACCAAAGTCGGTGCTGACAATATCTGGTGAGGTAGACACCAAGGCCTTGGACAAAAATCCCAGGTTTGGCGTGGCCATTGCCATCAAGCCTTGATTCTTTGGTGTTAGTGAATTCAATACCTGGCTCAATTTTTTGACTGGCTCTTGAGAGGAGCGCTTAATAATTAGTTCCACAGAAACATTTGTCCTAGTCCGTGATGACTGGATGGATCGTTTGGCGCTTGTGCCTCTATTGCGTGGTCGCGGTCTCTTCTTTTCCTCTATATTCTTTTGGTTTGTAACCGTAGGTTGATGAGGCGTTGCACGTTCAGGTCTCCTTGTATGGAGAACCCTAGAATTTTGATTGATAGAAGATATGCTTGCATATATTGTTGGGGCAAGTGATATGCGATTGTTAACTACAATCGAGTTTATAACTTCAACATTGATATTACTGACCGATGTGTTGCCGCAAGTTATGGTCAGTTTTTCTTCTTTTAGCTTATCTAAAAAATGACTTTAACCTTCAATTTTAGTGGGTATTAGCGTTGTGCTTGTTTGGGTCGACGTAGTGATCGAATTTCAACGAATTCTATGTATGGGTTTCGTATTTTTTGTTCAGTTCCCTTGTATTTTAATAAAAAAAAAAAAGTAGGCAAATCAAACCAATAGGGAACACAAAGTTCGAATCATAACCTTATTCTCAATTCCTCCCCTTCATTTCTTTCAAAAATTAGATTGATATTGTAAAGTAGCAGCTAGAATTTGGAGTTGAAATTAGATTGACATTGACGAAGTAGATGTGCGGTGGGAGGAGAAAGATCAGATGGAACAAATACATAGATTCGCAGCTTTAGCCATCATCACGGCGTAATACAGCTAGCTAGCTAGCTAGGGTTTTGACTTTTGAATGGCAAAGCAAATATGCTGCTTAATACGGTTATCTTGCATAGTTATAGACAGAAGAGGGAAAGATGGGATACAAGGAAAGAAGAATAGGCTAGGCTAGGCTAGGCTTTCTCAAGGGATACGACTTCTAGACTTTTTAACACTCAAGTTAGGCTTATGTCTGCTTATTTTGTGTTCACTCGGAATTGAAACAATAAGAACCGAACAACGATATTTAAGTTGTTTATCCCTAAAAGCTGAACTACGTCTACTGTAGTGCTCAGAGTAATCTACAATCAGCACTAATGGCCACCATGGGTCTGTGGGCCTTTATTTTTCTTTCTTTCTTTGGGTCTTTATGGGCTTCTTCCAGGTTTATACTATTTTAAGGGTCGAAAAGGATTCTTTGCTAACATTTTGAACTTAAGCAAACACGTGACTTGAAATTGGGCTTAGAAACGAATACCCTTCCATCCTAAATTAATTAATTAATAATATTTTATTCGATTCATTTCGGTTTCTGAACCTACGAAACTGAAACCGAACGAATAACTTTCGGTTGTATTTGGTTTCTTCAATTTGGTTCGATGAACAGTTTTGGTATTTTATGGTGAATGTTTCGGTTTTTTTAATTTTCTGAACCCAATTTACTGAGGGCACGTTTACTAATCCATAATCAGATTTAGAGGAATTGAATTGAGGAGGAATTGGATTGAGGAGGAATTGGAATGAGATGGAAGTAGAATCAGATTTATGTTGAAGTTGTTTACTAAAACTGTCTGGAATCGGAATTAAAACTAGCTTGATTACTAAATTGCCCTTATATAAACAAATTATTTTTATACTAATTAATCAAACTAATTAATTGTTCAAAAAAAAAAAATAATCAAACCAATTTTATATACCAAAATTTATCTATATAAAAAATAATTAAAGAGGTTTCTTTTTGTTAGAATATGGTTATTTCCATTTGCCCCCCACCACCAAAAACCCCCGTGTCTGTCTTCCCCACACCACCCCATTCATCCTGAAGACTTTATTTTCCTAGCCACAACAATCCTCCCCCATCCTCACCTTTCCTTGCCCTCCATCCCACTTACCCCTATAGCCACCGCCCCTAGCCTCAATTTTTGAAACCCTCCATCTCTCTCCTCTATGCCCTCCCTCTCCGCTTTCTCGGTTAATCCCACCATGGTTCGCAACACTGTTCAATCCAACGTGTTTGTGAAAGCCGATGAGTGGGTCGAAGTTCAGAGATCTCATATATGCTTCCTGAGTGGATTGCCTACTACCGATGGTAGTGGGTATGATGTTTGGCTAATGGGTTCTCTTTTTTTTTTTTTTTCATTTTCTCTAAATTTGTGGCTGTTATATTTGCGGTGGTTGTAGGAGGGGTTGTGATAGGCGTGGTCGGTACGGTTGTTATTGTGTCCGTTCATGGTGGTAGATTTGGGAAAGACAGAAGATTGAGAGGTGGTCTTGGGTTGCAAAGGAGTTGGAAGGTAAAACTGTGAGTGTTTCAGAATTAGAAAAAAACTATGGGGGTAATATTGGTACAAAAAGTGGATTCCTGATAGGCTTCATTTCGGGGAATTCAATTATCACCTCAATGTCGAGAATTGAATTCCGAGAGTTTGGGGAGTCTGATTCCCTATATTAAGTGGGTCCCACACACTTTTTTCATTTCCAAGTGTTAGTAAATGGAAGAATGATCAGGAATGTGGAATGACTCTCATTCCGCCATCCATTCCTTATATGTAAACACTCCCTAAATGTATTTTGCCATCGGGTCATGGCATTGATAATATATATTTTTATATGTTCTTTTGTTGAAGATTGTTAGAAATTCAATTAGTGTAGTCATGGACCTTTTGGTTTTCTACTTCAAATTTTATTTTTAGGAAGGATTTGTTTATAATTGCATGAAGGCAAAACAAATAAAAAGGTAAGTGATCATGATACTTTACTGTAGCTAATCCATCCATTGACAAATTCATGACGGTGTCTTTGGGCCAAATGCGCTTTGATTCCGTATAGCTTTATTTTTAGAAAAACTAATAGCAATGGTTTGAAAATTTTAAGTTTTAACAATAAGAATAAACTAAAAGGTAAAGTGAATAGTATCATGATTGATTTTTTAGCGTAAAAATATGAATTTTTGTTAAAGTGAACAATAGCGAAAATTTTTTGTTAAAGTTCTTTTTATTTTTTAGGCACTTGGCTAAAGGCAGATTTTGTCAATTTTAAGATGAGATGTAACATATGAGATGGCCTCGGTGCATTTCACATCTAATATCAGACCGAACTTCCCCTTTGATCGAATATGTGTTATCTCTCCCTACACAGTTCCCACGTCCAACCGTCCTCTGTCAAAAGCCCAACCTCAATCAAATCTCCACATAACATCTTTCGAAAAGATTTTTCAGTGTGTTCGAAACACACACACATACATCATACGGTGTATATATGTAAACAGACACTTAAAAGAAAAATTTTCATCTTCTTGTATAATAATATATGACGTATCACCCAATATTAAGGGCACATTGAAAAATCTCTTCATCTCTTGAATTATAAACAAGTCACCTTTTGTTAGAAATAAAACGTAGAGAAAGACAATGAGCAAGAGAGGCGAGCGAATGTGGAGGAGAAATCAAATGTGTCCTTCCTTCTTATTAAAGTGCCTATTTATAGGCTTATAATTTACATAGAAAATGTCTCAACTATTTACATGTTACATATTGATTCAGAATGTGGACAACCCTATAATAAATCTTATTTATAACACTTTTCCTTGGATATTCACCAATCGATGATCATTGTCTCGATAAAACCTTGCTTGGAAAACCCAGTGGGAAGGAAAAAAATTGGGCACCACGATTATGAAATATTGATACGATGTTAGACGATCATAATGTTTTGCCTCGCTAAAACCTTGACTGAAAAAAACCCAGTGGGATAAAAACCTGGTCGAAATGAAGGAGCACAATGCGGTTGTATGTTCATTACAGCATGTTGTCAAAGACTCCCCCCAATGAATAACTCCGAATAATTGACTCCCCCAGTTGATTGTAAGCCTTGATTCAACTAGTCATCACTGTCAAGTTTGAAGTAATGTGCTTCAGTATTAGCTTGAGTAGGGCTTGACTTGGGGAAGCACGGAAGTTCATTGGGGGTTGACAACAGCCTTTTGTGTTTCTACAAAGAACAAATATAAAATAAAATATAGGATAGAATAAACTAAGAGTAGTATAAAAACTCCATCGTAAATATAAACTGTAACACCCCGCCCCTGAAATATTTATTTTCGGGTATTAATTTTGTTGATAGGCCCAAATTAAATTTTTTTTCTTTTAACTATCTACAATTACAAATCTCTACTCAAGTTTCATGATTCCACACAACTATTTATGCCCAAAAATTTACTCACCAAAACTTAAGGGTAAACTCTTATTTTTCTGTATTCCTTACTTAGATCAATCTCTCAAACAAGGATTTTGTCTCGATTATTCAATCTCACTTATTTTATGGAAGATCAAATTAAAATATTTATCTAATTCACAACCATTCACCACTAATCCTTATATAGAAGCCTTGATTCCACATATGCTCAATAATCATCATTGACTTAACAACACATGCCATCACACTTTCAATTGATTTCCATTTCTTCTCTTCCATATACCTGCCATTTCCTTGTCTCATAATAAATTCCCAACAAGAGGTCTAAACCCGATTGTTTGACTACTATAAATTTTGATTCATTATTTACAAACCTTAGTTCCACCCATGATCCATAATTATAATTCCTTACCAAATGTACGATATTATTTTTTTATATTTTATCACCATTTCCTTTTATGGACCAATTTCCATTTTGTAACCTAAATTCTCAAATTTATTTAACCTCACATATTTTATGGCTGCATCTAACGTCTTGTTAGACTGCCTACGTACCCTAAATAAGGATCAAGCCATTCATAGTTCACATTTCCAAAATTCAAACCAAATCCGAATATATTCATTTAATCCAACATATACCACAAACGTATTAATATTCAAACCACAAAAATTAGATCTCAAAAGCATAATTAGAATAACGAAATTCTCATAAAAGCACAATGTCGGCTCCCTGGCCGTGTGCCGCCGCGGGTGGCAGTCAGCCGCCCCAACTCGTCGGAAAATTCAACTATTTCTAAAAATTCTCAAAAATTACAAAAATGAAGATCTCAAAGAGCAGATCAAACTTTATACCTACGGCCAAGTCCAATTTAGCCTGGAAAGGTTCCAATTTGCCTCGAACCTGCCGGAAACCCTATAAATGGGTGGCCTCGAATCGTCACCTCCGGTGCTCTGCTGCCCCTACAGCTGTTTGGGCTTTGTTCTAGCCCTCAAGGGAAGTCTAGTCATAGTGGTAATTGGAGGAAAACATTTCACAATTGATGGATTTCGGCCAAGGATACCCGCGGCATCCATGGTGGGTTTTCCACCAAACTTCAACTAAACTTTTCCTAATTTTGGGTGAAAAGGGTAGAGGAGAGGTTAGGTAGGTATTTCCAAGTGAGGGATGGTGGAAATTCCGCCGTGGAACGCTGCAATTTGACGCCGGATTGTTGTCACGGGTCGGGTTAAGAAGAACTCA